TGTTTCTCCTTACAATATCAAGATCGGAAGCCCTGGAGGGACATTTGTACGGAAGCCCTGGAGGGACATTTGTACGGAAGCCCTGGAGGGACATTCATACTTCGCACTTCGCACTTCTTATTTCACCTATGTATGGAACACTTAATAAAGTGAAAATTATTTCATTATAGGAATATCCTAGATTAAAATAGTTGACAATCAAGTCATCTCTTCCAATTTCTTCTCTTTGATAACCTTGGAGATGAGAAAAAGTGTACCGTGGCAACACTTGTGTCTCTGCGGTGCCAACAACGTATACAACGAAAATGATAGTAAAGAACCACCTGATCAAGACCTAAAAAAAAAAGCAGAAAGAAAGAAAATAAAACAAAAAAGTTTAGTCGTACATATATCTAGTAAATGGACCTACCTAGCAAAAATAGACTTACCATATCTGTTGGTTTTCTAGCTTCTTGTCTGATTTTCTGAAATGCACACTAAGTCCGAAGAAAAATTTTGATAACTGAAATTTTAAGTGTGAATTATGAAGTGTGAAATGTGAAGCGTGAAGAATGAAGTGTGAAGTTTCCACTTAAATATGTGAAATTAGAACTGTGAAGTGCGAAGTACGAATGTCCCTCCAGGGCTTCCGTAAAGATCTGTACCAGTTCAGTACCAGTTCAAATTGCTATCAATAGATTAGGATACAAATTTTATCAAACACTCTAAAAGGAAGCACGGGTGGCGTAGCGGCGAGAGCGCTCGCGTCTAACCAAGGCGACCCAGATTCGGTATCGCTAGCCCCCCTAGAGCCGAGCTACGCAGGCTACGGTATCGCATGTGAGTGGAGTTGTTTTTTGGTTCTCTCCCTTGCTTCGAGGGTTTTCCCCGCGTTCTCCGGTTGTTGTGATTGTCCCACGCTGTGATGTAGCAGCCAAAGCTTCACAGATTTTTTTTACTTAGCAAAAAAGCTGAGTCTAGAAAGAAATTACCTCTTCCTCCATTTTGTTAATGAGTTTGTACTATGGCAAAGTCCACCCGAAGCCCGAACAAGTCTGAAATATCCTAAGTCCGAAGTCTGAAATACCCTAAAGTCTGAAATGTCCCTCCAGGGCTTCCGTAAGATCTTGAGTGAATTTTAAGCAACATTATTTCCTTAAGTTTTTTCTTTTTTCTTTTTTCCTTTTTTGTATTTTACATTTGTGTCGTTTTCTCTGAAGAGTCCTGTTTTCAATTGCAAACAATATATATATGTGACTCAAATATTTGACAGCTCTTAAAACTCCAGTGTATGCAGGCTTAGCCTCACTTCTGAGGTCGGCCGCATACACTGGAGTTTTAAGAGTCGTCTATAATTAAGTGAGATATGCCAAGGTGTGAAATTCTCTTATTTATCGCTGTTTACAATATGAAATAGTATTTTTGTCAGGTGTCCACACTCAAAGGTACTAAAATTGTTTAAAAGCAAAGGAAATGAAGGAAGATTAAAGAAAAAGAGAAGAAAGAAAAGACATGGGAAGGAAAGCAATGGCGAAGAAAGAAAAAGAAATGGGAAGGGAAGGAATGAGAAGAAAACAAAGGGGACAGGAAACGAAGAAAAAAGAACAAGACAACAAAAGAAGAGCAAAGGCTGTTTTTATGGGTTTCACACGCGGTGCGATGTTTCGTGCACCGTCGCAGAAGAAGCACCTTAACGTTATTGAAACTTATAAAGATTTATTTAAAAAATATACTTTGGAATATGAAAAAAAAATTAACCAGTGATTTCTAAATTATGCAAACCTGTTGCAAAGAACCACAATACAGACGAGTGTATTTCCTACGAGGTCGGTGATCATCAGCAATGTTAGCACTGCAATAAGGATGGACTCTCCCGTTGTCATGGCGATGCTTTGTGTACAATCTGCAAAAAATTTAAGTGTTTTATTTTTTTACCACTCCTTGGGATAAAAGGAAATAAAAAATAAGAAAGAGAGTTAAAAAGTGAGTGAAATAGGGAAAAAGTTCGAAAATGAAGAAGTAAACAAAAGAAAAAATAGTAGTAAAGCGAAGTTAAAAGATGCCAGTTCATTGCATTAGTTTCTGTCGAAATTGCCCAAGCAATTTGCCTTCGTTGAGGCGATGATAATTCATATTTCTACTCCATCAATACTCGACTCGTTCTCGTACGAAAATGTTAGTTCAGGAATTGATAAAAAAAAGTGTACCTCGTGGATGTTCCTCTGGGTTATTATATGATTTGAACTAAACGCTGCCCCAATCAATCTAGGGATTTTCAAATCATAACTAGCTAGCGCAGGATACTAGTTGAGACTGCGTTGATGTGTTGAAAACCTGTGAACCTACACTGACGTTCCGTTCCGGAGGATTTATCATTTTAGCATCCGCCTTTAGACTTTTAGAAGTGGACGTCAACTGATTGCCTTGCAGCAAACGGATCCACATTAACAGCCATTAGTTAGTAATACACCATTAGTTCATCATCCTTCTTAGAGCCTTAGATTATTGACACCTTATTTCTTGTTATTCAGATCATTCTCCCTGAATCCTGTTATCTCAGTGACTAATGGCGTAAATTGAAAATTCTAATTTGAAAAATATATACGAGTAAGCATTCTATAAGCTATTGCCGAATATTCGGCTCTCCTTAAAAGCAATATCTTATTTTCATACAGTTATTATCCTTTTCTTTCGTGTTGTTTTTCCCCCTGATTTTTGTTCTAATATCAAATGATGCTTTGTTCTATTTTGTTTTCTATTGAGATGTTGTCACCATAATCATCTTCGTCGTTATCAGAAATCACTTAGCCTCTCATATGACCATCCATGCAAGAGGATAGCTCCATCTCCACTCAATGAAGTTATAGATATGAGGTGATAAATGAAGAGGTCGTTCTCCTCCTTATTTAGATACGCCATTATTTTGATTTGGACATTTTGAGAACCCTTGCAGCTGTCGTACTAAGATTGAGATCTCAAACTCTCGTTTTAAGTGCTTTTTCTTCGTGTGTGGGGGGAGGGGTGGGGGAAGATTTTAAATTCACCCTTCTAGGAATATTGGATAAGTCTGAACTGAGAATGATCGTTTGTCGAGAGTTAGTTTTTATGTCTTTGATCCATGATCAGGAGAACAGCGCTGCAGTAGGAATACCGGAGAAAGAGAAAGGAAAGAGGAGAGAACGGAAGGGAAAGAACAATTTTAAAAAGAAAACTAAAGAATTCCAATCTCCTGAGAATAAGCCTGAAGCGAGATGACGTTTTACCCCGACTCTATTCCATAATAGTTTTTAAAATTCTTTCATATTAAAAATTTTGATTCCTTAGAGAATACAGGAACAATAGTTATAATTAAAGAACAAAAGCAGCGTGAAAACGGAAAACGTGAAACTAGAGACGGGGGTAAAACGTCATCTCGCTTCATTGCGCTCTATCCTGCAGCATTGCATAACCCATTCCAACTCGGTGGTGTAGTAGGAGCACACTTGACGTCATGTCAAGGGGACTGGGTTCGACACCCAGCTGAGTTTAGTGGAGTATTGCGCATGGAGAGAGAAAGATGTATTTGAAATTGTCATACAATTGAAGACAAAATATGTTTTTTAAGTTGTTAAAAAGTACGTGGAGCAGTATACTCATGCAAAACGAGTAATTTGCAAGATTTATCCCTAATTGGAAAGCTGGGTTAATAGAGTTAACAAAGTTTATTAATTTGTTGAGATTTATTTAAAAGCCTTTTTGCTTAAACACTACTTTTGTAGTTCGTGCAGGCTATTAAAACACAGGTGAAAAAAGATCATAAGGAATGTGAATTCACCAAAATTTTATATTTTCCCAAGATGCTCTTTCAATAACATATTTATTAGAGATTAATAAAGATTAATAAAGACTAAAGAACTTCATTTTGTATACTGTTACTCCCTCTGAAATGAGAGTCCGTGTTTTGGGCAGAATTTGGGCGGTTTTGGGGACATGCCCTTATATGGTGAGGCCATGAACGCCTGGCAAATATCATGAATTTTACACCAGCCAAAAAGTCTCAAAAATCCAACATTTAGGTTGGTGTAAAACTCATGATTTTCACCAGGCGTTCCTCGCTTCAGTATATATGGCTACATGGAGTATCGCCCATGAAGTTGGTGTTTTTTACCCAAATTTCACAAARCTTTATAAATAAAATATTATTAGGGATTATTAAAGATAAATAGACTTTATTTGATGTGCTGTTATTCCCCTTAAATTAGAGTCCGTGTTTTGGGCAGAATTTRGGTGACTGTGGACATGCCCTTATATAGTGAGACCAGGAACGCCTGGTAAATACCATGAATTTTACACCAGCCAAAAAGTCTCAAAAATCCAACATTTAGGTTGGTGTAAAACTCGTGATTTTCACCAGGCGTTCCTCGCTTCAGTATACAGTCAATTCAAAAAACGTTGTCGTCGACCGGCTCAAGCCTACGCGACTGGACCGAAAGG